AGGTGATCTGTACCCCGAGCACTTTCCAGCCGATGACTTGTGACGTTTACTTTGCGGTAACGGATATCCAGTGCCGTAACAGCAGCCACAAGGCATCGACTGTAATCGAGTGTGTCCTTCGAGAACGGCATTCACTGATGGTAACCGATATAAGGTGCTACTCAGTGCCTTAGAATTTAGAATAACAAGAGAGTCCTAGTTTCGTTATACCAATGAAGACTGAATTATGCGATCAACAATTCACTATTGCTACATTTCATAAATTAATAAATATTTGACACAATTTTGATATCGCGCGCATATTAATTTTATTATAGCAAAATTTATTCTTCATATGCGCATTACATATGTAGTGTATTTTCTCTCGAAAACATAATATTATAATTTATTAAAATAAAAATAAAATTTTAAATTATGTATTGTATTTTGTCATATTTTGTACGAGATTTAAATTCTTCAGCTGTAATGTTATTTGCCAATTTTATTTCAAATCCTTAAGCTATCGCGATATTCAACACGCGGACTTAATTAAAAAAAACTTAATTAAAAGCTTTTAGTGATGCATTTAAAGCAAAGTAAATCTACAGTATGTGCGCTTTGCATTGGCCTACACAAAAACACAGTTCTATTACGTTATCGGGTGTTTATAAGTCGTATAACAATTCGCAGATAAATTCGTTGGAACGCGCGGGTGTTAAAAGCTGCGCAAACTCCTTTCACCATGCCACCGGACCAACGAAGCATGCTACAGACGGATTATTGCGTCTAACCGATCGAATGGCCACTCTCAAATGTGATTCACGATTAGACTCGATCGACTAGTTCCGTTTGTTGCTTGAAATTAGATCTGTCGGCGAGCAAAAACCAAATTGTACCGAATAATTCTAATATTATTTAAATAAAGCAAGTGTATATAATATTGATTATTTACGATTCATTTAATTAAGACGAAACAATTGTATATTTTTAATTATATTTACTATATGAAAAATTTTTTAAACAATAATTGCATTAAGCACGAATTTTGATAAATCACATATATTAATCTCAGAGATAGTCATCGTTATTAAAAGAAAAAATTGCTTTGTCACACTTTATTAACTTTCGCAAGCCTACATCCTGTTAAAAAATGGGACGAAAGAAAGGACAAGGAGTTAATGATAGCGTGACGTGATGTACGTCGAAATGCTCAGAACTATTTTAAGCTCACCCAGAATTCGTTTCAAAAATCAAAGGTTACAAGAGAAAGGACTAACCAGAAGCAGCATTACACCACAGTGTACCTGCTTCGCAAAATGCTGCGTCGTCGTTATTTACACATTAAATTTGATCTGTTACATCGGAATTCAATAATATTTTCGTATTTTAATTTATAAATAAGTCTTGCATATAAATGCACGTTTATCGTTATTAATGCATCAATATAATTTTAAATAAATGTCATTCTTTTTGCTAAAAAATTAAATTTGATAAATTATATATATGTCCTATGATAATTGTTAAACAATATAATTAAACAATAACACATGTAAATAAAGCTTCAAAAATTTATTATTCAATAAAGCTTTAAAAAAGAATACTGATTTTATATCAGCAAATTTTCGTATGTAATAGTATAACTTTTCGCGTGCATCGATATAGTTATACAAGTAGAATATTTTACAATATTTGTACATTAAAGCAAATTGTGACATAATCGATAAGGAATTATGTAAGCAACTATAGAGAAACGAACTATATATATATTACAGTTCGATAGTTTTAAGATTGATGCGATAAAAGTGATTCGTTTTACGATTTCGCGCCAGTTTAAATCGTCATTTATAATTATGACGTGGATGATAAAGTAGTATTTTACGTAAAAAGACAAACAATTTACATTGCATATATGGTTGATTTGTTTGACATTCTCAAAATTTGCTTTTGACTCAATGCCTTTATTATTTTTAAAAATCAATAAATGATATAATTAAACGTGATTGTCTTTTTCTACTTCGATCAAGTCATGCTGTTTGAACATTAGGTAAAAGATGATTATTGCCACATCAAATAAAAGCGTTTCACCAATTGCGAAATATATTTGTCTATAATATAATCTCAATAATTAAATCATTCGTCATACAATACCAATTAAAATTCGTGATTTTAATTACAAATTATACTTTTAAAATATCAACAAAAATTATTTCTCGATTAAAATTAAAAAATACATATATCTTTATTTTATAAATAAAAGAAATATTTATATATATTTTCTGTCAAACTAAATTTTCTCAAACTATATCATTTAATTATTGCGATAATATTACAGACACAACTTATTTCACATATATGTATTTATAGAATTTCATAATGTATCATACAAAATCTTGAAAAGGATATGCATAGAGCAATCAAGAAAAATATAAACAATATTTATGCTGTTTATTTTTAGATTGCATTTAATTTAATTTTAATTAACATTAATTGTATTTCTAACCAAACTTTTTTTATACTTCTTGGAAAAGAAAAAAATTTACCTTAATCAAAGATTTAGTATGTAAGAACTCTGTGCGTGATGTAGCAATACTAAATTTTGCAATAAAATATGCAATATACTTTTGTAAATATAAAATCACTCACCGCTTTGATGATACATTGCCCCACATGCCTCTGCTATATGATACCTTTATCATATCTTTATCATACCTTTATCTGCCATAAATGCTGCACCTATGTAGAATTTATAATTATTAATTAGTATTTGCATTTTTTCTTATTCATATTTAGATTTATGATACATACGATCGAATACTTTCGTATACACATGTATTGTTAATTATTCTAATTTTTTAAATTTTCTATTAAAATAATAACAATATTTTTCTTTAATATTTATCTATCAAATCGCAAAAGTGCAGCAAAAATAATAAAATCTGTCAAAATATGCGAATAATACAATATAATTAAATATATTATCGAAATAATAAATAAATTTATACTCACCGATTGTTGCAATGACGCTATCATCCTACCAAATTCTTTAACGACGACGAATTTATCTGAATTTTATAAAATTCGGTCGTTCCACGATCGCGTGGATTTCATTTCCCGAAAATGTCATATATTCTCAATATTTCGCACTACCGACGCGATATACTGTGTGTATTCACGCATAATATAACGTCCGACACTTTTCTCGATACTCCCAACATCACGCGTTTATTTACAGGCGATCTCGGTAACTTTATTTCGCGGTAATTTTATTAATATTTAATAGTTACGAGCGCGGTTTATATAAATATAATAATTAAGTTCACTTAACGGAATTACGATATATTCGCATTGACGACGCAATATACTGTATTTACATATAATAACGATCGCCCGATACTTTTCTCGACACCCCCGATGCTACTTCCGGCATTCCCGCCAATTCTCTCGGCTTTCCCGCCATTTTTCTCAACTCTCTCGCTACCTTTTCTCGACGTTCCCGATATTATTCTCGGCACTCCCGATATTATACGCATATAATTGCAAAACGTACGCGATATAATGTATCTACACATAATACAATGATATCGCCCGATACTTTTTTACACTTTCGATGCTCGATCGCGATTATATCCGCGGATATTATCAAATTTATCGACTTTCGATCTCATAACGACTCCATGATCCGATGTTGTGACTACGAGCATGTACTACGCGAATCACATACGTCTATCGCGTGCTGAATTTGGCGCTGGTTTCTACTAAACGCGACACTGAAGGTCCATAGATCATATATTAGCGATTGAGATTGGCATAACCAATCAGAATTGAAAAAAAATTAAGATCCTTGCTTGGATCTGATTGGTCAAATTCCCTGCATCTTAATCTTCAATACATATGTACGTTACATAATTGGCCATCGAATAGAAAAAATTTCAGAATTTTGGAAATTCTTTATTTTATGATCAATTTTGCGTGAGGTAATGTTTACTTGTGTTCCTCGTTAAGAAGCAAGAAAATATGCGGACTTAAGGCATATGTATATCAATTTAATACGCGAAAAATATCAGAATAATTTTTATCGTTAATTATTAATATACGAGTTGCAATAGGATTAGGTAATCGTTTCGTCACTATTGATAATATAAATTATTATTGAGAAAAAGAGAGAGAGAGAGAAAGTGTATATATATGTATGCGTAGTGTAATATATGTCGAGATGCGTAACGAGTCCATATATGATACGAATAAGTTTGCGAACTAATCCTCTTGATTATCGAAATGTTATTAAACGAGAGTTTGTTTTGATGACTACGGAGATGGTATGTGCGAGCGAGAAGTGGGAATGGGTGGGAGAAGGGGAAGAGCGAGCTGCTCGACGCTCGACGCTCGGCCGCTTTGTTTATATTTACATACACACGGCGCGAGTACACGACTGCTGATCCACTTAGGAATGCGGCGTCGTAAATATTACAAAGCAGCAAAATGATTTTTACTGGTACTTAGTATCATCTCGACTTTTACGATGGTTAGTCCGTAGATCTTTTTCTTATGTATTACACGAACATGTTATACACGCAATTTTCTCTCTCTCTCTCTCTCTCTCTCTCTTTCTCTTTCTCTTTCTCTGTGTCTACTGTTATTTATCTATCTTTTTTTCATCAGACTACAGCGATATTGAGCTTGTACTATACTTTATACTATATAATAATTAAATATTGCTATAATTAAATGTGCTATATATGCAATAATTAAATGTTGTTGTCGTGATTAAATCATTTTTGGCATTATATAGTTTCTATATTAAACGCGACGAATATAAAACGTGGATATGATAAAACGTGTATGTGTATAAAATAATCTTTATTATTAATTATTAACAAACGCGTTGTGTGTGTGTAATATTTATTTGATAATCAATTCATTGCTCTTAATAGTAATAGATTGCGTGTGAAAGAGAGAGAAAAAAAGAGATAGAAATTGCACGGAAATTTGACCAATCATATGCATGTAAAGTAATTTTATTTTCTTCGCTTCTGATTGGTCGAGTCGCAAGTGCCATAGTGGATTCGGAAGTTGAGATATTCGGCGGTGTTCGCGCTCGTTTGCGATGTATTGCGTATTATTATTTGTGACGTCGAACGTTGCATAGTGTGGATGTGCGGATATAATATCGATCGAGCTTCGTAGCGTCGAAGAAACATAATCATGCATCGCATCGATCATAATTATGTCACGGTAGGATACTACGTACGTAAGAATCATTTGTCTCGTCACATATCCAAGTTATGATTAAGTTACGGAGGATGAACATGACCTTTGCAAGTAACGGACGAAGTGCTTTATATTATCGGAAGTGTCGAGAAAGATATCGGGCGATTATCGTATTATATGTTGGTAGATTATATTATTGCGTACAAATAAGCGTGTACATAATATCGGAAATGTTGAGAGAAAAAGAATCGAGGAAAAGAACCGCGAAAAGTATGCAATCGTATTTTGCTTAAATACGTTATATCGCGTAGTCGTGGGAACGCGCGACAACTTCACGTAACTCTGTTTGCCGCAGCGTACATATAATCGTTGTAAAAGTATTAATTGCACTCAAAAAAATGTCTTGCTGATATAGGTAGATTTCTAGGTGTCACAACAAAACTTTATCGCTATTTTTTGTATCTGTTAGAATATTGTCTGTTACATATAGAATTTATAGCAGCAATATTCTAATAATATCTTCTAGAAAATTTAGGTCCCATTGCCAAATGTTAATCACTGCATTGGATAAATATGAGTTTCGATACTACAGAACGATCTTTGTGAGAAATATAACTGCCAATTATAACTGCAGCATCGAAAAATTGAGAGAAATTGTTTAAAAGAGCTAGATAGATTGAGCGCGTTATACAAATATGTTAGACGTGAGGATTATATATTCATTTGTTTCTTGCCGCTAATTTTTTCTGTATACCACAGCCAAACTTTATAACAAGTATGATTGGCCTTAACATGGATAGGCGCCACAGAAAAACATTCTTTCTAAATTTCACAAACAGTTCAGATATAAATTCTGTCTTTTTGAGTGTGAATTATCAAGAAATTATTGTTAAATATTCGTGTAGTACATGAAAGAACCAAAAAAATATCGGACTTTATTAATATATTCGTATTAACTTGGAGAATCGTATGTAAGTTCATATACTTGTGTGTGTGTGTATGTGTGTATATTATTTTAGAAATTTGATTCTATGCATAATGTAGAAAATATATATATCGAAAAATTATATATTTTGATATGTATTAAGTACATTTTAATTTAATGTGTTTAGGAACAAGTGGCAACAACAATACAACAGCAATGCAATGGCAATACTATAACGATGTAATGGTAATGCAATGGTAGTGGCAATCCAAAAGCGGTACAGTGATAATACAACAGCAGTACTACAACACTGCAATGGTCTGTGAGTAATTACTGTTTATGTTTCACAAATTATGCATTTTTATTAATTGCTGCTTGATTAGCAGCAATCACAATTTTGTCACAATGGTATATTTATTCGAATACCATATAATAATCTATAACAAAGGAAACATCTTAGGAAAGGATATATCTTAAGGATATAAACATATTCCTTATATAATGTATAACGATTAACAAAATAGAAATTGCGGTACTAAATAAATAAAATTTATACACTTCATATCATACAAAATTAAATATACATATATATGTTTTATTTATTTTATTAAAATGGATATCAAATTTAAATATTTAATAAAATATCTTAATTGAAATGCAATATATATCTAATTGACAAAGATTACATATATAAATTGTATGTGTATCACATCAGGACATATGTATTAAATAGAGTTAGAGTCAATGTGCCATATTTGTATTTCATGTTGTTTTGCATAAAGGAATCGGTTCTGATATTTACTAATATTAAAGTGCTAACGCTACATACACGAATTAATATGAAATGCGAATTTTTTATCTTATGCAAGCTTCTGTCAATATAATTTATAGCTATATTATATTCTAATTAATTAGTATGCACATGTGACTTACATGTTGCTCTTTTTGATCTGATTGGAAATATTTTTTACTGTAATATAATGTGTCTCAACGTGCAAGTAAACAAAATTAAAATACGTCATTAATAATTTACAAACTTATTTATATGCAGAAAAAAAACCCACGATGGAAATGTGTGGTATTATTCAATCAAAGCTCTATGTTATGCAAGTATTATTGAGTTACTAAACCATCTTTTTTAAACCTTCAGATTTATACTAATCGACTACTTTCACTAATATAATGACAATAATTTTTACTTGAGAATTTAATTTTGATTTAATGTATGAAAGATGCGTAAAAATCGAAGATAATATTACATCAAGTGGAACAAAACTTTAACTGACTTTAATATATGATTTGCTTTTATTTCTAAATTAAAGTCATTAATTTTATCGTAAATATATGGAAGAAATAGAACCGTGCGTATATATAGAATCAGATCTGTGTGAGGCTATAATAATGGGATCTATTACGCAGTGATAAATAGTCGTCATTTTCCGACAAGCTTATAAACGTTTTAAAGTTACATCGACATTAGTAATCAGTTGAAATGGGATAGATCATGTAGCAAGATTGATGGATCCTGTATGCCAGCTGTTGAACGATTTCGAATCATGAAATGGCGCGATGATGTTAAGTATATTTTGTATAAGATCGCGTACAAAACCGTTAAACATAATTATGTGAAAATTACCATTAAAAAACATATTAACAAAGTGCTTTACATTTTTTTTATAATAAAATTTTTAAATGCGCTTGAGTAATTAAAGCCATGGAAGTTTCTAATGATTCAGTTTCACTGTTATTATGTTATGTAAAAGAAGTGCTTTAGATAAAAAAGCAAATTAAACTATTGGAAGTACCGAAAAAATTTTAGATTAAAAGGAATGAAATTTTACAATAATAGAACATTTTGTTAAGTAAAATTATAAAAGTATTCTGTTTATATAAAAATCACTGCATATTTCCAAAAATTATATATCTAGCAAAACGTGTACGTTGCTTACGTTTTAGTAGATTTAAATGCATTCGGACGCAATGTTACATCATGTTACGTATGTAAACTCTTCAAAAACAGAAATAGATAGTCGTACAGCTTTAATTGCTCTCGCAAGAATATCCGTGTTTTAATTAATACGTGTGCGCGATGCGATTTGATATTAGTTAGTTTCAACGATTATTATTTCCGCGTTTCAATGTTATAAATAACAGTTCAAGAAGGGGTGCAATTAAAAATTATGGAAAAAGTAGATCGATTATTATCGATGCAACATGATCATTGATGCGTTACTAATCTTCTAAAATTCGTAACATTTATGCATTATTTTATATCGTTGGACTTTTTCTCTTGTTATTAAAAATGGACACCCGCAACTACAAAAGTAGACATAGCAAAAAGGGAAGTATGTACACTTTCAATCGGCAAATACTGGACGTGGTATAAGCAGGACTTCAATTTCCTGCTTAACATTTTCATCTATCGTTCGCGGATCGAGTGAAAAAATCAATGACTGTGCGGCCGCGATTCGACTGCACCGATTATCAGAGATAAGATCACTTTCGAGATAAATTTGCATTCCGCGTCGATAAAATTCCGGGACGTTATTTCCTGCTAGCCTCTGATCAATCTACCGCAACTTTTCTGTCCGCGTCAATTCCCTTCATTCCAAATCGCATCCGTTCGCGGCCGCTTAAGGCTTGCGTATCGCAGAAGGCACCGTTAATAAACACGATTTTTAGTGCGCATTAACGTCGGTTGCATTACGCTCTTCGGCAATCGCATGCCGAACTTTCTCCACGGTTATACACCGGTTCTAATGGCGTGCATATATCCATATGTGCTGTTCTATCAACGAGAACCTACGCATCTGTATCGCCGACGCATGTACTGTTATGCGAAGGCGATTTATGTAGAGTAACATATAGGAATATCCTAGATTTATCGTGTTTTGATAAAGTATCATCTTGTTTACCTTATCTAATCTTACACTTTGACAAAAAAGGCGAACTCTAAATTGTATCATAATGAATTAATGAATAAAAAAGATAACGCAAATATAAATTACAAATGATATAAACATGTAAGAAAAAAAATTTTATGCATTAATTTTTCGTAGTGCAATTTTTTGAGTATATATTGTTTAAAAAGAAAAAAAAATTATGATAATCAGGAAAGATATATATAGAGAGAGAGAGAGAGAGAGAGAAAGAGAGAGAGAGAGAGAGAGAGAAAGAGAGAGAGAGAGAGAGAGAGAAAGAGAGAGAGAGAGAGAGAGAGAAAGAGAGAGAGAGAGAGAGAGAGAAAGAGAGAGAGAGAGAGAGAGAGAAAGAGAGAGAGAGAGAGAGAGAGAAAGAGAGAGAGAGAGAGAGAGAGAAAGAGAGAGAGAGAGAGAGAGAGAAAGAGAGAGAGAGAGAGAGAGAGAAAGAGAGAGAGAGAGAGAGAGAGAAAGAGAGAGAGAGAGAGAGAGAGAAAGAGAGAGAGAGAGAGAGAGAGAAAGAGAGAGAGAGAGAGAGAGAGAAAGAGAGAGAGAGAGAGAGAGAGAAAGAGAGAGAGAGAGAGAGAGAGAAAGAGAGAGAGAGAGAGAGAGAGAAAGAGAGAGAGAGAGAGAGAGAGAAAGAGAGAGAGAGAGAGAGAGAGAAAGAGAGAGAGAGAGAGAGAGAGAAAGAGAGAGAGAGAGAGAGAGAGAAAGAGAGAGAGAGAGAGAGAGAGAAAGAGAGAGAGAGAGAGAGAGAGAAAGAGAGAGAGAGAGAGAGAGAGAAAGCTTATACACACAGAAGTTAAATATTTAAAAACTTTAGTTTCATAAATAAAGTCTCATTTATGTCTCTAATTTCCAAACAACAAAATCTATTTGCTTCCGTATAAAAACTACGTGCTACCATATAATTAATGAACCTTTCCAGAGATTTTTAAATCTAATTAAAAGGCAATTTGCTCGAAGTTTCGTTTGTACCTTGTAATTTTAAGTATTAAATTCCGTTTTACCGCCGCAAAGCTCCTTACTACGCACCGAAAATGTTTCTAAGAGGAGTTAATTAGCCGAGCTGCGTTAATTAATTTTTTTCTATCTAGTAACGGGCAAGGGATTAATGCGATCGTAAATTGACACAATAACGCTCTTACAAACTGCATTCCGTATATAATAATTATATTCATAATTCTATTATTAATTGAAATAACATTCCTTTCTTTTACTATACGCGTATTTTTCCCTTTTCTTTGTCTCTTGTTTTTGTTTAAAATTAATTTTAAAGTAAAAATGGGAACGTGTCGTTATAAAAAAGCAATGGAAGAGAATTTAAAAAACGATGAAATCATATATGGTTATCTTCCATATGCGGTCTTGTTGGCAAAAGAAGTTTTGAAAAGATTTATTGCTTCGAATTGTTTATTAGATACTCGCTCGATGTGTGGTTAATGAAAGTTTCTTAGAACGCCATTTGCACGCGATGTTGTGTCTCGGCTACGTAATCGTTCTAATAACATACCGCAAGCGCATTATATGCGCGCACCTCTAACTTCGATAAAATACGATAATGGGCGCGATGTGTATTTTACTAAAGTTTACCGTATATTTAGTCCCAATCAACTCAGTCGAGCAACGAGAACTAATTCTTCCTGGCTAATTCTTCGTTTTTGCACTGTTTTGAAATATATCCGGGCAACTTTTATTATCTTTCAAAATGTAGTCACAAGTTGTATTGCGCACGAAACGCAAAATGTTGAAAGCTTGAATTTTATATATTAAACGCAGGAAGATAGTAAAAATTATTACAAACTATTTTGATCGTAATTAAAAGTGGCGCGTCGATTCCGTTGCACTCGATCGATTAGCGAAAAGATAACGCGGCATATCTCACCTTCATTATCATCGCGAATTGATCGCATGGCACGAATACATGCCTCGATCCCGTATTAATCAACGGCAAGTCGCGCAATCGTAAAGACAGCGGTGGCTGCCCGTGTTCGAAACTCCTGGAAAATTGCAGCAGCCTTTAATGCGTAGTTTCTCCGTTGCGTCACGCGCGATTCGTCCCACGCATCGGCGAATAATTAAAATGTTGCACACTCTGCGGGATCCACGCTTTTTCTAGCTTCGCATGCGTCGCGTTGGATACTATCTAATTGGAAATAAATTAATTTAATCGTGGAATCTCTCTCGCGAGAAATCGACTCTACTAATCGAAATCGCGTAGTCGTAACGGCGACAATTTATACATACATGCGCTTATATCTCATGATTCATTGTGCATTGTGTTGCGAGGAACAAAATCGATCGTGATCGTTGGAAGACAATAACCTCCGTTAATTGCGGGAAGTGAACTAGTAGTTGTCTGCTTTGATTACGCCAAGCTATAGCGTCTTTCTTTATTTAAGGA